TTTATAGATAATAGCTAACATTTTATTCGTTTTAGCTAACATTTTATCCATTTTAGCACATCTTTGTCCTTTTAATGTACCATACATTTTATTACCACCTAACATATTTTTATGGTTTGTTTTAGGTCATTGCGAATTCTATTTTAAAATATATAATTTTAATAATTCTAATTTTTACAATTCTAATTTTTTTTTAATTTATAATCCTTGGATCTCTATATTTTATTATTTTATAATTGATGCTTTACATATTACTATGGGTATTTTTAATATTTTCTATACTTCTGCACGTTTTTTTTTATATTTTTTATATTTTGATTAAAAATGTATTATGTGATTTTAGTTATGATTAGTACATGAGATATAATCCTGACCACACTCTATGTTTTTCTGACCTACATTTTACGTATTTTTTTGATTTTATCTATCTTTATGTATGTCTCCGTGTGTCACCCTCCCAAATCAGAGATCACCATTATTTTCATATTTATATATCTTTGGGGTGAGTTTCAGTAGGTGCTCCATGCAGGCACCTAAGTACATAAGGATGGTTTTATTCTTGCATCCTTATAAACAATCCCGATACCTGTCAGCTTTTAACTAGCAATATTGATGTATATAGGGGATTTTACTACACATTTGCGCGATTGCTGTCATTTTATATATGGTGTTTATTATATATATATGCGCGAATGATGCCATAATATTTGCGTATGACCCATCCCGGGAAATACATCCGGGGGTCCATACACATTACCCTGGTGTTTAATAGTGAGGATATCTCACTCAATACAATTTTCTTCCCTTCCCTTGGTTGTCTCGATTGTTGGCGGTGACACAGTCCCCCTTTTGTTGCACTCCAGTAAAATGGCGCCCGCACATGTGCGATTGAGATGGTGGATTTGGCGCATTAGCGCACTTCAGTTCCCCGCATATGACTACTGCGCATGTGCGGACTTCAACAAAATGGCGCATTTCTAGAGACATTTGTCTACCACAAAATGTTGCACGATTATTGCACGTGCGCGAATTTTCGTATGTAAATGCATTGTCACACGTCCTGTGCCCAGAGCATACCCCCTATGAGTAAGTGCGGTTGCACGAAACACGTCAGTGAGGAACTGCGGCACAGTGCCATTTTACTGCCGCCGGCACCACTGGGGTCCAGGTGGGCCAACTTACTTTCTTGTCTGGTCAGTATTGTGTTTTTATACCCTTTTTGCTGGATGGAATAAACACACGCATGTTCAAACGGTATCACGCTATTCTGGCCTCCTTTTCTCTCTGGGGCTCTTGGGTGAGCTTCCAATTACCTACAGAGTCAAGAGCAATAGGGGACAGAGCCATGCATGACAGCTGAGGGTCCACAACGCAGAATTAGACCAGACCTTGCTTCAGATGAGTCCTGGAGTCATACCTTAAGAGGGGTTATCTCTTACATGCGCATATTGATTGTGCATCTGGTGAGTGCACAATCTTATACCAATTTTGGATATTGCCACATATCGTTTTTTGGTCATCACCATATACCAACAGGGATCCAACTGATCCCCCACTTCACTCCACCTATTGAGGAGATTGTGAACTGAGCACCTATACCATATCGAGTCACTCTATTAGTGACAGTATAAGAACTTTAATATACCTGCGTTTTTGCAGTTATACACCTTTGCACTTTGATATGTAATTTTATGTGTTTTATTTGTTTTTATAAGCGCTGCACTCTTATCTTTATGATTTAATTTATTGTTAGCTGTAAACAGCAAGCACATACGGGAAAAATATAAATGCTCAATTTTAAGAGAGCTAATTTTCCAAGGCTGAGAGCTGCTGTCCAAGACTTAGACTGGGAGGGAATATTGGCATCAATGAACACAGCACAGAAATGGGAGTTCTTCAAAAAGACTTGTAAACACACTGCAAAATATATTCCTATGGACAACAAGTTTAAAAGGCTAAAAACAAAACCTATGTGACTTATGGCCAAAGTTAAAAAAGCTATAGATAATAATTTTATTAAATATAAAAATGAAGGAACGCTATCATCATTTAAACATTACAAAAAATATAACAGAATATGCAAAAAGGAAATAAAGGCCTCAAAAATTGAAAAAGAACGACAGATTGCAAAGGATAGCAGAAGCAACCCCAAAATATTCTTCAAATATATTAATAGTAAAAAGGTCCAGTCTGAGCATGTAGGCCCTTTACAAAATAATCTAGAGTGGGTGACTGGGGACAAAGAAAAGGCAAATTTATTAAATACCTTCTTCAGCTCTGTGTATACAAAGGAGCATGGGGGAGCTCTTGTCCATAATGGGCATGGTATTGACACAGCTCCAGATGATCCACATTGGCTCACAATTGATATGATCCAAAAATATTTAGACAGAATAAAGGTGAATAAAGCACCTGGACTGGATGGCATACACCCACGGGTCCTTAAAGAATTGAGCTCTGTCATTTCAAAGCTATTGTTTCTAATTTTTAGGCACTCTTTAAAGACTGGCATAGTACCACTGGACTGGCGTAAGGCCAATGTGGTGCCAATATTTAAAAAGGGGTCACAATCTTTACCAGGTAACTATAGACCTGTTAGTTTAACTTCTGTAGTTGGGAAGATACTGGAGAGTTTAATAAAAGACCACATAGATGAGTTCTTGCTGGAAAAAAATATTTGTTTGACACAGTTCCCCACACATGGCTAATGTGTAAGGTAAAGTCTACAGGCTTGGAAAAATCTGTATGTAAATGGTTAGAAAACTGGCTAAAAGATTGTATTCAGAGAGCAGTGGTGTACCCCAAAGTTTAGTGTTGGGACCCTTACTTTTTAATATATTTATAAACAATATAAGGTCTGGGATTAAAAATACAGTTTTAGTCTTTGCAGATGACACCAAGCTGTGCAGTGGAATACCGTCCTTACAGGATGTCTCCAATTTACAAGCCGACCTCAATGCACTGTTTAATTGGACAACCATGTGGCAAATGAGGTTTAATGTTGATAAATTGAATATTATGCACTTGGAGGCTAAGAATATGCATACATCATACATACTGGGGGGGGGGGGGGTATAACTGGGGGAATCAATGGTGGAGAAGGATCTGGGAGTTCTGGTAGATCACAAGCTTAATAATGGCATGCAATGCCAAGCTGCGGTTTCTAAAGTGAGCAAAATCCTCTCTTGTATTAAAAGAGGTATAGACTCCAGAGAGAGAGATATCATATTACCCCGGTACAAATCATTAGTAAGACCTCATCTGGAATATGCAGTTCAGTTTTGGGCACCAATTCACAAAAAGAACATTGGGGAACTGGAGAAAGTACAGAGAAGGGCAACCAAACTGATAAGAGGCATGGAGGAGCTCAGTTATGAGGAAAGAATAGAGGAACTAAATGTATTCTCTCTGGAAAAGAGGAGATTAAGGGGGATATGATCAACATGTATAAACACATCAGTGGTTCATATAGTGAACTCGGTGTAGAGCTATTCACCCTGAGGTCATCACAGAGGACAAGGTGGCACTCTTTACGTCTGAAGGAAAATAAATTTAATCTCACGGAAAGGTTTCTTCACAGTAAGAGCTGTGAAAATGTGGAATAGACTCTCTCAAGAGTTGGTTCTGGCCAGCTCATTGGATTGCTTTAAAAAAGGCCTGGATTGTTTCTTGGATACACAGAACATAACTGGTTACTATTTATAGGTAAAGTTGATCCAGGAAATATCCGGTTGCCTCTCGGGGGATCAGGAAGGAATTTTTTCCCCTACTCGAGCAAATTGGATTATGCTTTGCTGGGTTTTTTGCCCTCCTTTGGATCAACTGTGGGTGTAAAAGTATAACTTTTTTTTATGGTTGAACTGGATGGACTTTTGTCTTTTTTCAGCCAAGCTATGTAATTGTAGATTTTAAGTTCTTGGTTGTGTGCACATACTGTATGTTGTCTCACACAGCTAAGCACCTCTTTCCCTGTCTCTTACCTTGTGAGTTGTAAGAAAGGTACAGTGTTGCATCAGTTCTAGGGCATTGGAGACTGAGGAAATGCTCTCTTGCCTGCAGTTGAATGGTGACATTATTTTCCCACGATGGTCCGATCATGCCTTGGTATATTCACTTGTCTGGATCTCGAGTACTGATTTATAATAAAAAAAGGCAAGGCTTTTTCAGGTAGATATAGGTTTAAATTAAAGTTAAATGTTTTTTCTAAATAATGTTGCAGTATGTTAGGAATATTCTTCTGCTGATTCGAAATGTTACTAAGAGGTCTGGTTTAATGTGAGAAGAGGATATAGGTTGTTCCTTCTAAGCCCAGTTTACTCAGTGTTCCTTGAATCGCTTACCATTTCATTCCTGCTCTCTTGTAGCTTTTGCTTTCTAGCATATCAAGAACGGAAAGACTAAACCTATTCAAAATATTTTTTTCAGTAATAGTAGTATTAAAAAAGAATGCTTTTCAAACACATTGATACATTTATTTAGAAACTTGCTATAAAACCGTTACATTAATGTAAAAGTCAATAGTGAAAGCTGAACACAAAAGACTTTATACAGAGTAACATATTTACTGCATTTACCGACCAAAAAAGAAAAAAACATTACAGCTGAAGTATTCTAGAGTTTATACATTTTGATGGCCAAAGTTATTAAATTACAACATAATTTATGAGCTTTCAAGACTACAAAGATAAGAAGAATCTTAGAGATGAGCAAGAGTACAATTTTATCCAATTATTTTTCTTATGATATTACATACACTCCAGGTTGTACAGAGTAAGAGAATGTTGAACAAGATGTCCAAAAGATGAAAATATAATAGTTTCTCTTCTAACCATCCATCCATCAAAGACCATTAGTGAACTATGAGCTTTCTTCCAAGAAACTTTCTTTGTGTTTCCTAATGGTCAATTAGTTTACTCTTCAGACAGAACCCTAATTTCTAGGAAGTTAGTGTGTCTACCAGCAGCAAGGGTTTTTCTTTCCCCCTAGAATCATAACTTTTCTCAGTGTCGAACACTGTATCTTGAAACGACTGCAGTGGGTGCTGGAGTTGGCATATGCTCAAGAGCTTCACAATCATCAGTATAGAAGACCAAGTCCTGAAAATTAGGAAAAGAAAAGGCGAGAAACATAAATTTAAAGAGGAACTGCATCTTTAAAAGTACATGTTGACAATCCAAGCCTGCCCACTCTGATCGTGAAGTACCTTACCGCTAGATTATAGTCAATTGCAAATATCCCCTATCTTTTTACCAAATAGTAAATAAGAGGGACTTGCAATTTAGCAGATAAAGGTGCCAAATTGTATCAGTCCTACCTCACTTCTTCTTGGATTGAGCACCTACTCTTCCACCTTTATAGCAACCATATTGGACCCATATCTCCTAGCCAGAGGCCCACTCACATATTCCTGGCCTACACTTGTATTAAAGGAATGTCCACTCATGAATGCATTGTCATCACTTTACTGTGACTTCACATCTTCACAATACTTCCTGTGACATATCACATTTGACATACTGGCAGGCATTTTAGCAAAGACTTCAACTAGCATTGATATATACAATATCTTGCAGTAGTCATTTCAGTGTAGAGCACAAGTGCACATCTTTCAGCCATCTTCCCTTTCCTCCATTCCTCTTCTTGGAATCACCACATAATTGAGACCATCTCTGCAGATATACTAGGTCTCTAAGCATTATGTTTTCCACAACCCAGCCACAGGACAGGTCAGGGGGGAAGGTCCTTTCATTAGTATACTGCCACTGTCTTTCAAATGTCCCATCTATAGCTTTGCCCAGCCGAGCACGCTCCCTGATGACACCTATTCCCAGGTTCCACTGTCACTCACATTTAGGAGACTCTGTCCAGAACCCCAAGGCTTTATGCACCATTCTACAGGACATGCAGAAGAAGGATAGATGTAGACAAGACAACTCTGTACCACTCCCCCTGGGAATTCAGCCATTCAGCTCAGCACAAGATTACATCTTTGCATCTCTGGGTGTTCTGTTCCCAAACCCCAAACTTTCTGAGCCCCACTAACAGCTGGCATTTATATGGACACTTACTTCACCCACTACATCACTACATGAGGGGTTTCTCTAAAAGGGGAGCTACCACCTGCTTATACCTTTCCCCTTACCATGCCATAATGGCAACAGAGCCATATAGTGGCAGGCAAGCTAACTGCGACTGCCAACAAGCATATCACAGCACATGTTGTCTTTTAATTGTAAGATTCTCAAAGCTTCTCCCTGCTCCATATGCACTATTTCAGGAAGGATGTGTTTAGGTTGAGTGTGTCAACATGTTGTAAAATTTTCCAGGTGGATTTGCGCAGACCATGTTACCCTGAAAAAAAGTACCGCATGTTGTACTTTTTGTTAGCTTACAACACCACCTCGTCTTGTCTTGGAACTGTCCTGGGCAAGGTTGGTGTGAACAAGCTCTTGTGTTGTGTTAGCATTAGGCAAAGAACTGTAGTTGGTGTGCACAGGCCCTCATGTCATGTTAAAGTTTGGGAGAGGTCTGGGTTGGACAACTAATGTTTGCAAAATTACTTATATGAATTATTCTTCCACATGTTAGCTAACATACTCCCAACCATCCCCAAAAATATCTAGTAGCCCATCATTATAATGCACTGTCTCTATGGCAAAAGCAATCTGTGGGGAGTAGGAGGAGCTTCAACTCTACCAGAGCGTTTCAGTGCTCTGATGATGATTAGAGTGGCCTGTCTGTTTAATTTAGGAAGAATTCCTGTTTATGAAAGCTGGAATTGGCTGCAGAATGTGCAGCTAGCCTTATTAGCCAATCATGTTCCAGCGCCTCATTTCCAAAGCCCAGCTAATAAACACCAATCAGCAATGTTTGACTGTAAAGCATCGCCATGAATATATATATATATATATATATATATATATATATATATATATATTATATAAATTTTATTTATTTTTTTATTTTTTTAATTAATTGAATCAGTAGAAACCTACTTTTTTACAAGCTTTATTCATGATATTGTACAGATTTCTTGCTTTCCTCATTAAAAATTTACCCCTGGTACTCTTCCACATTTTGGAGCTGTGACAAAGTTGCGTAGTTTTGTCATTACGCATGAATTCTGAAATAAAGCATTTCACAATTAAATGGAGTAAACAGTTATTGTAAGAGTAAATGTATGTTGCCAGTGTGTTAAATCATTTCCAGCAATACTTTACTGCTAAGCCTCTCCATCTAAATGATCACACGCATCACAGTAACAAAGCATCTTTTTATTTTAGTCAGAGAAATATGAAATGTTGCATATAAATATTGTGTAGTCTATTTAGCCAATAGGTTCTCCTTTTATTCCCATTTTAACATGTTTTATCACACATTGACATTTTAGGGCGATCATAGCTCATGAGCACCATCAATTTGAGCAGTGCTTTACGCGTACTGTACAGCAGGGGCGGACTGACAACTCATGGGGCCCCCGGGCAATAGGGGATCATGGGGCCCCTGTGACCTTGCCCAAAAAGTCAAAAAAAGCCTATGAAAAAGGTACCAGGGGCATCTCATGGGGCCCCCTACTGACCCTGGGCCCACGGGCAGTGCCCGAGTTTCCAAATGGTCAGTCCGCCCCTGCTGTACAGTATATATTTTACATTCACATCAGTCCTTCATTCAAGGAGCTTACAATCATTTACTTATAGAACTAAAAAACATCACTTATCAGAGGACCAACGTTTCTGTGAGAATGAACCTATCTAAAAGGAGAAGTTTACTGCTTTGTTGAATTTTAGATAGTCAATTATTGTTCGGGAAATCCTTTGGCACATGTTAAAAGTGTATTCGTTAAACAAATATTGTACATATAGCATAGATAGTAAAATTGAACATTATCTCTTGGCTCACTGCAATACTTAGTCATAAAGAACTTGGGCATGCACTATTTATAATTAATATTCAAGCAGATCTGATTGGGTACTCACAAGACTTGATAAGGGCAGCAGTGTATTAATGCTCTTTTATCGAAGTCCAACATTTTGCCATTTTCCCCTGTCAAATCCTGTGAGTGTCTGCTCAGAAAAAGAAGTAACATACATATATATATATATATATATAAAAATATTTTTTCCAAACAAGTGAGGTAAATAGCAGATCAGATAACCTCTCAGTGCATTGCAATCAGGCTGCATTTATAGAAAATTTTCATTCCAGGATTGCTCCTCTTAAAATTTATTGGGAGTCAAAGCGAAAGTTACAAAGTGGTCTTTATACAATGTTCCATATGCATATACTATATATACACATTTTTCTTCTAGAACACAATCTCATTTCAGTGCTGGATATGCCAGAATGTGAGTGATCAGGTGACAAACTCCAGCCTGAGTGGGAGGAATTGGGAAGTTGTACTGAACACAATACCACCCTCATGTCTCCAAATTTCACAGCTTGATAACAGAAATGGTTAGATCTAAATAATGGATTGTAATGTAATGGATAAGACATTACAGTCCAGCTCAAAGCACATTGACAAAAAGCAGATAGGTTTGTAGTGTTACCCCCACAGGAACCACATGGTAATTTGGGTTCTCTGTTCTGTGCTGAACAACCTCAGCCCATCTGGCACTCCAGGTTGAAAGACAGGTACTGCAAGCACTTATAAGAGCATGAGTATAGGTACCTTTAACTCATCTGTGAATTAGCACCAGGAAATACACACAAGACCGTTTAGTGGTATATCAACTCAATGTATTGATATGGGTTAGAATAAATGGTGATTTGAGCATAAATGAACACACACAAGGCAGGTTCGGACACAGTCTGCTAGACAGTATAATCACTATGCCAAGGTGACTTAGAAAAGAGTTCTGTACCATGAATCAGCAAAATCAACAATACACAGTGCATATGAGCATTAACTGCAGTGTGTATAATAATACTATAACTAGTATAGAGTGCACTTTAGAAGAATGACTAGGATATTGTGAAATGTCCCCTGGGAGGTACCTCTTAGCATAAACAATAGGTGAAGGTCTCTGTGTAGCAGCTGTAAAGGGACAGCCTTTAGTCCTAACTCTTCATCCGGCTAGCACTGGGGCCCAGATGTACCGCGAGTGCACGTTAGAATAGTCCCAGTCAAGGCTACAGGCAGCAATAAGGCTACTAGATGGCTGTATGGTCAGTTCATAAAGGGCTCAGTCTCTCTAGCAACAGTAGTAAATCCCCACAGCAGCAGTTCACCAGTCCCAGTGATATTATTATTATTATTATACAGGATTTATATAGCGCCAACAGTTTGCTCCGCGCTTTACAATAGAACAGGAGACAATACAGCAACAATACAGTTCAATACAAGAGGGAAAGGAGGGCCCTGCTCCTTGGAGCTTACAATCTAGGATTATAGCTCACCATTCAGACACACACAGCAATTAGTCCACTCTCTGCTACGCACCCAGGTAACTGCAGACGTGATAGTGCACACTGGACAGCTATGGTCTCCTGGTCTCCCTCAAGGCAAGAGGTAGCTGTGTCCTGTACAGCCATGGTTTAAGCATTGTAGTGATTTGTAGAAAGTTGCATTTGTAATGTATAGCAATAGTAGATGAAGTTTATCTAGGCTAGGTTGATAAAGGTGTAGTCACAAGAAAGGGGCTGGGAACTAGACATATTTTGGTTGAGTTATTTAGGAACAGAGAATGTTCACTTTGAAGGTAAATGTTAACTGAGGTAGAGGTAGAGATAAACACTTTATTGAACCTTCCTCTTTTTACAGGTCCTGTGGAATGCTTCTGCTTCCTTCTTGAAATTCTACATATAGTCTTTATAGATTACACCTGGACCACTATCCCAAGAGCGTGTTGTGGTCCACTTGTAATATATACACTGCTCAAAAAAATAAAGAAACACTTTTTAATCAGAGTATAGCATCAATTCAATTGAACTCCTGGGATATTGATCTGGTCAGTTAAGTATCAGAGGGGGTTGTTAATCAGTTTCAGCTGCTTTGGTGTTAATGAATTTAACCACAGGTGCATTAGATGGGCAACAATGAGCTCACCCCCAAAACAGGAATGGTTTTACAGGTGGAGGCCACTGAAATTTTATTCCCTGACAATTTCCCTACTAATATTCTTTGACTGTTTTTCACTAGTTTTGCATTTGGCTAGGGTCAGTGCCACTACTGGTAGCATGAGGCAGGGCCGTGGAAGGCCCTTAACTCATCAGCAGGAAAGGTATCTGCTCCTTTGTGCAAGGAGGTACAGGATGAACATTGCATAGCCCACACAAAATAACCTCCATCAGGCCACTGGTGTGAATGTCTCTGACCAAACAATCAGAAACAGACTTCATGAGGGTGGCCTAAGGGCCCAACGTCCTCTAGTGAGCCCTGTGCTCACTGCCCAGCACCATAGAGCTCAATTTGCCACTGAACACCAGAATTTGCAGGTCCGCGACTGGCACCCTGTGTTTTTCACAGATGAGAGCAGATTCACCCTGAGCACATGAGACAGACGTGAAATGGTGTGGAGAAACTGTGGAGAACATTATGCTGCCTGTAACATTATTCAGCATGACCGTTTTGTTGGTGGTCTTGATGGTCTGGGGAAGCATATCCATGGAGGGACACGCAGACATCTACATCTTGTTGGTGGTATTGATGGTCTGGGGAAGCATATCCATGGAGGGACACGCAGACATCTACAGCTAGACAATGGCACCCTGACTGCCATTGGGTATCAGGATGAAATCCTTGGACTCATTGTCAGACCGTACGCTAATGCAGTGGGTCCTGGGTTCCCCCTGGTGCACGACAATGCCCAGCCTCATGTGGCGAGAGTATGCAGGCAGTTCCTGGAGGATGAAGGAATTGATACGATTGAATGACCCCCACGCTCCCTAACCTAAATACAATAGAACACCTCTGAGATATCATGTTTCGGTCCATCAGACGCCGCCAGGTTGCACCTCAGACTTTCCAGGAGCTCAGTAATGCCTTGGTCCAGATCTGGAAAGAAATATCCCAGGACACCATCCGTTGTCTCATTAGGAGCATGCCCCGACATTGTCAGGTATGCATACAAGCACATGGGGGCCATACATACTACTGAGTACCATTTTGAGTTGCTGCAATGAAATTTAAGCAAAATGGACTAGCCTACTGCATCATTTTTTCACTTAGATTTTTGGGGTGTCTTTGAATTCAGTCCTCTGTAGGTTGATAATTTGCATTTCCATTAAACGATGGGGCATTCTTACATTCCTAACACATTCCCCAGTCCATATCAGTATAGATATCCAGCATGATATTTCTCCCCATTGAGATCTGATGTGTCTTCAAAGTGTTCCTTTAATTTTTTTGAGCAGTGCATATATACTGTATATATATATATATATAATATATATAAAAAAAAAAAAAAAAAAAAAAATATATATATATATATATATATATATATATATATATATATATATATATATAAATGTTAATTCCCCTGCACTCAGCTTGGTATTTTAACTAAACACTGGTTCATTTTTCCAATCTCCCATTTTTTACTATTTAGAAAATCTAACCAACTGACTCATACAATGATTATCTGTCAGAACTGCATTGCTTTAAGGACTGGGCTTATGTGTTTTTCTTTTTCTCCACTATACAGGTCAATAGCATTGATTTACTAAAAGAACAAAGACTTTGTGTTTTCCTAATACATAGCTGGGTATTCAAAATGAACATGGCTTTTCTTCCAAGTAAATGTGCACTTTTCAAACTTTACAAAATGAGCAGTCTCTATTGTATTGAATGGATAGTAAGTGCATGGTTTCAAATGTATATTCACTAACCCAAAACCAAAAATTATAACTGCGTATGTAGTTTTCCTTTGGGAAATATTCTACTTATTGAAATGTGTATGTGCATTCATAAAATAAAATGTAGAATTCAAAACAATGGCATGGCAATTAACTTAGAATTTTGAGGATTTTCATTAAAAAATTGTCTAGTCCATATTGTTACTATCATATGCCCTGACAAATGTTTTTTCCCAGGTTTTATGTGCAAACTTTTGAATGAAATTCTGCTGGTGTATGGTCAGATTTAGAGTCAAGTACCTAATTAGCTGAACTCATATTAAAAAAAAGTCTTCTGACAACAATCATCTGTCACAAACACATTTACTACTGCCAGCCATGAAAGGTCTAAATTAACAATTGAAAGAAATTTAGAAAATAACCCAGAACATTATGAAAAAATATTGTAACTTTAAAATTGTAGTATATTAAATTAGAGTACTTACATGTATGTCCAAGTACAGAGTTGGAAGAGAATCCATGCATGGTCCCTGCAATAGACAATAGCTGTTAGAAATTGATGCTTTTGTTATGTGCCTGTATTATCTTCCAATTACTTACAGCAGGTAAACTCTTCTGCAGAGTTTTGTAAGATTCTGTGATCTCTTTGCCCAGAGCGACCACTCTTGAGTAGCACATTAGGGGAGCAGAGTATGTGAACAGAAACAATATATTAAGTGCTAAGAAACTCAGAAAAAGCTTCATTACTGTTTGCAGTGTGTCAGCAGAGGGCTGCTAATGGCTCTTGCTGCGGTTTGTAAATCAATGGACACAGAGACAGGCAGTCAACACCAATTTATACAGACAGCTGAATCCAGGGGAGAGAAAAAAAGGTTCTAGGCTGAGTGCCAAGATTAGAGATGAATGTTTACATTCAACCCATGTCAGGAACAAGTTTTCTGCATTTCCAAAAAAGTAAATCGAAAACTATTACCAAAACACGCATGCACTGAGCTAATTCTGTGGAAACATCTGTAAATAATAAATTGGGCTTCTTTCTGTCGAGGTTTATTGGAGGTGAATTATGAAAACTGAAGCAAACAGAGATGTAGCTTTTTTCCTGTTACAAAGTACTTTTGCGTTTTCTTTATTTGCCCCATACTGAATGAGGAATGATTGCTATTTAGTGGTTAAAGGGAAACTAAAATAGTTCTTTAACAGTTTTATTTTATATTTCAATCGTTTTATTGAAAAAGTGAGATACAAGAACAAAAACATAGAAACATAGCCCACTTACAGGGTGAGTTAAGGCAAATAAACAGGTTCATGAATATGTAGGCACATAAGAGGCATCAATCAGTAACAGTTTTATTTTAAACATCCCAAAGTTAAGTTGATAATTTGATGTTTTGTGTCATTTATATTGTTAATGGTATAACATTTTACAAAGGTTATTACATGTTATTATATTACTCTGCAGGGCATGCTGAGCTTTTCACCAGGAAAGCCAAGCACTAGGCACTTGGTGAGCAAAAAATAAAACAACAAACAATAATTCCCAGCTCACTTACCAGTCAGCCTGCAGCAAACGGAATTACTCTGTCTAACCGTCATGTTAAGACAAGGGGCTTAGTTTGCATACATTTGCAAATACATGTGTAAGCTGCAGAGGCCACGTCACGGGACCCCAGTGTCTGCAGTTCCAGCTCTATAAATTTTGAGAGTCTCTAAAGTTGTAGCACATATAAAATATTCAATAGATGATAGATAGGGAAGCTGGTGGAGGGGGTACCCAGACATGTGAAATGCCTGATCTCATTTATATTTATTGCTGCCAGAATATCTATTGCACGCTCTTGGCGATCCCCCTTGGTCTCCCTGTTGACCTGGATAATGGTCAACGAACGTTTGGCCGCTATTCTTCAAGACAGGATGGTATATTTTGAAAAAACCTGGGAACCTTGGATGCAATATCTGTCAGCATCATCCTAGGATGGTGGATACTTGACATGGGATGTTGATAACCATAAACCATCTTGCTCCCTGCACCCGACTGTTGGTCGGACCCTTCTTCAACAAGCGTCCTTTGTTTCTTCCTTTTTTCTTTCCTTTACTTCCCCTATCTCTATTCTCACTCTTCCCTTTCTATTTTAACTCGCCTCCTCTTTCCCATCTCTGGATTTGATCATCTTCCATCTGTAGATCCCTAAGGGACCCCATTGGTTACCATCAACAGAGATTTATTTTTCTTATTGAAACATTGTATTTTGCACATTGCCAGTTCTAGCCTGAAAGTTCTGCAGTTTGTATGTGATTGGGAAGAGGGGGGATGGATGTATACCTTCTCTGTACTGATTTGTAATTTCTTATGAAAAAAAACAAATAAACACTATTGGAAAACGATAGATGATAGATTCAGGACAGGTATGTCTGGAGGAAGCCCACCCTTCCTTAACCACGGTGGCAGGGCGGCACGGCTGGGCAAAAGCACGTTTTAAAACGTGATGTTTCAAAACAGGTAGGGGGCGCGCGTGAGGCGCGCCGCCACCCTACCTTCACCCCTGATCTCAGCCGCGGGTGTCAGTCGCCGCGTCACAGCCGGTTATTATTAGCTGTGTCCCGGCGATTAGCGGCAATCAGTGACAGAGAGCATGGCTGCAGTAGCTTCGCTTTCTGTCAGTTCCCTGACAGTTCCTGAAAAGCTGACCAGGAGAAAAGAGTTTCTCTGTCCGGATCAGCGTGTCTCCCTGCAGTACACCCCCCCCCCGCCTCCTAGTAAAACACTCCCCTCACACAGTTAACCCTTTCAGTGCAAAAAAAAAAAAGTTAATCCCTTCCTCCCCAGTGCCATTAGTACAGTGTCAGTGTTTTTTTTTTTCACTGATCACTGTATTGGTGTCACTGGGGATGTCAGTGACCCTAAGTCAGTTCCCCCCCAGTGTCAGAATGTCCCGCAGTCCTGCCATAAGTCGCTGATCACCGCCATAAGTCACTATCGCCGCCATAAGTCGCTGATCGCCGCCATTATTAGTATAAAAAAAATTAAAAAAATCCGAGTATCTTTCCCGCCATTTGTAAACGCTATAAACTTTCATGTAAAACAATTAATTTACACGTATTGGGTTTTGTTTTAGCAAAGACATGTCGCAGAATGCATTTTGGCTAAAATTTATGACGTAATTTGATTTTTAATTTTTTTTACTGGACATGTTTTATAGCAAAAAGTACAAAATATTGTTTTTTTTTCTCAAAATTGTCAGCCTTTTTTTTTTATAGCGCAAACAATTAAAAACGCACAGCTGATCAAATACCACCGAAAGAAAGCTCTATTTGTGTGAAAAAAAGGACATAAATTTAATGTACAGTCAGGTCCATAAATATTGGGACATCGACACAATTCTAACATTTTTGGCTCTATACACCACCACAATGGATTTGAAAGGAAATGAACAAGGTGTGCTTTAACTGCAGACTGTCAGCTTTAATTTGAGGGTATTTTACATCCAAATCAGGTGAACGGTGTAGGAATTACAATAGTTTGCATATGTGCCTCCCATTTGTTAAGGGACCAAAAGTAATGGGACAGAATAATAATCATAAATCAAACTTTCACTTTTTAATACTTGGTTGAAAATCCTTTGCAGTCAATTACAGCCTGAAGTCTGGAACGCATAGACATCACCAGACGCTGGGTTTCATCCCTGGTGATGCTCTGCCAGGCCTCTACTGCAACAGTCTTCAGTTCCTGCTTGTTCTTGGGGCATTTTCCCTTCAGTTTTGTCTTCAGCAAGCGAAATGCTTGCTCAATCGGATTCAGGTCAGGTGATGGACTTGGCCATTGCATAACATTCCACTTCTTTCCCTTAAAAAACTCTTTGGTTGCTTTTGCAGTATGCTTTGGGTCATTGTCCATCTGCACTGTGAAGCGGTGTCCAATGAGTTCTGAAGCATTTGGCTGAATATGAGCAGATAATATTCCCGAAACACTTCAGAATTCATCCTGCTGCTTTTGTCAGCAGTCTCATCATCAATAAAATACAAGAGAAGCAGTTCCATTGGCAGCCATACATGCCCACGCCATGACACTACCACCACGCTTCACTGATGAGGTGGTATGCTTAGGATCATGAGCAGTTCCTTTCCTTCTCCATACTCTTCTCTTCCCATCACTCTGGTACAAGTTGATCTTGGTCTCATCTGTCCATAGGATGTTGTTCCAGAACTGTGAAGGCTTTTTTAGATGTCATTTGGCAAACTCTAATCTGGCCTTCCTGTTTTTGAGGCTCACCAATGGTTTCCATCTTGTGGTGAACCCTCTGTATTCACTCTGGTGAAGTCTTCTCTTGATTGTTGACTTTGACACACATACACCTACCTCCTGGAGAGTGTTCTTGATCTGGCCAACTGTTGTGAAGGGTGTTTTCTTCACCAGGGAAAGAATTCTTCGGTCATCCACCACAGTTGTTTTCCGTGGTCTTCCGGGTCTTTTGGTGTTGCTGAGCTCACCGGTGCGTTCCTTCTTTTTAAGAATGTTCCAAACAGTTGTTATGGCCACGCCTAATGTTTTTGCTATCTCTCTGATGGGTTTGTTTTGTTTTTTCAGCCTAATGATGTCTTGCTTCACTGATAGTGACAGCTCTTTGGAGCTAATCTTGAGAGTTGACAGTAACAGATTCCAACTGCAAATAGCACACTTGAAATGAACTCTGGACCTTTTATCTGCTCATTGTAATTGGGATAATGAGGGAATAACACACACCTGGCCATGGAACAGCTGAGAAACCAATTGTCCCATTACTTTTGGTCCCTTAACAAGTGGAAGGCACATATGCAAACTGTTGTAATTCTTACACCGTTCACCTGATTTGGATGTAAATACCCTCAAATTAAAGCTGACAGTCTGCAGTTAAAGCACATCTTGTTCTTGTTTCGTTTCGTTTCAAATCCATTGTGGTGGTGTATAACGCCAAAAATGTTAGAATTGTGTTGATGTCCCAATATTTATGGACCTGACTGTATGTACCGTATTGCATGACCGCGCAATTGTCCATTAAACTAGCGCAGCGTTGTATAGCAAAAAAATGGCGTAAATTGCAGTATCTATACCATAGTTTGTAGACACTATAACGTTCACAAAAAGTAATCAATATACACTTATTGGGATTTTTTTTTACCAAAACATGTAGCAGAATACATTTTGGCCTACATTTATAGCTAACTTTGAGTTTACTATATATTTTTTAAAGCTGAAAGTAAAAAATATCATTTTTCTTCAAAATTTTTGGTCTTTTTTTGTTTATTGCGTGAAAAATAAAAAGCGCACAGGTGATCAAATACCACTGAAAGAAAGCTCTATTTGTGTGAAAAAAATGACGTAAATTTTGTTTGGGTGCAGCAATTATCAGTTGAATTAGTGCAGCGCCGAGTAGCAAAAATAGGCCTGGTCATTAAGGGGGGTAAATCCTCAAGAGGGCAAGTGGTTAAACGTATAGGGACGCACTGGACTCCCAGCAATATCACAAAGGTATCCAGTACATCCCCTCACCAATTCATCCACAGTACAAACAAATGGAAATCACCCCAACCTATAACTAGCCTTTGCAGCAAGGAGTATATGGAAGAGCCTTGGTGCACTTGGTGAGCACCTCTACACAAAAAAAAAAAAAATCCATGACTCAGACTAGAGATGAGCGAAGTATTCAAAAATTCGATTCGACTGATTCGGCGAATTCGTGGACAATATTCAATTCGAGTCGAATATATTC